GTTAAATGTTAGTTATTAAATAAAAAAACCCTCTCTTAATATTAACAATCTCTCTTCCAATTTAATAATTAATATTTTATCATTCATTGTAATTTAATTTACAAGCAACTGGCCTTATGAATCGTTTACTTAAAGGTGCATCTTCCAGTCTCATAAATTGAGTTCAAACCCTTTCTTTTTTCTCCTTCTCCAAAAAATTGTATTTGTTCAAAAAATAGGGTTAAATTTAATAAATAGTCTACTAATTATGTAATTTATTTTAATTTAATTTAGAAATATTTTTTTTTTCAAAATGATTTATAAACTATCAATTTTATTTCAAAATGATATACTTGACAAACATTCTATTAACTAGAGTAACGGAATATTTGTCTAGACGAGTTGTCGTAAATAAGTTGCCTCCTAAATTTTTAAAAAATGTTAAATATAATATATATATTTTTATTTTTTTATAACATTTTATTTTTGAAATTTAAATTCTATTTGTTCAAAAAAGAGGGTTAAATTCAATAAATAGTCTACTAATTATGTAATTTATTTTAATTTAATTTACAAACTTTTTTTTTTTCAAAATGATTTATAAACTATCAATTTTATTTCAAAATGATATACTTGACAAATATTATATTAACTAGAGTAACGGAATATTTGTCTAGATGAGTTGTCGTAAATAAGTTGCCTCTTAAATTTTTAAAAAATGTTAAATATAATATTTTTTTTTTCATTTTTTGCAACATTTTGTTTTTGAAGTTTAAATTCTATATCAAATATCAAGTGTAATAATTAATTAAAATAATAGTTTTAATTTACATTGATTAATATTCTAATTTTAATTTACAATAATCAATATCATAATTTAAATTTTATTATTTCTTAAAAAACTTAATACATTATTAAATTACATATTTTTAACACTAATAATACATGCATGATCTTAATTTGGGGATTTATAAAATTGAAATGAATTTTTATTTTTTTAAGTAATTTTAATTATGTACGGGTGCTCATTTAATTAAATTAAATTTTGGAGAGATTTATTATTAAAAATATTAATATTTAATAATAAATTATTTTTTTTAGAAATAATAAAATTTAAATTATAATATTGATTATCGTAAATTAAAATTAGAATCTTAATTAATGTAAATTGAAATTTCATCTTAGTTAATCATTA